AGAGTAGACGCTCCAAGTTATGCCGCTAAAAATGATTTTTGCTAATATTTAAATACATATGGAAACATTTTGCACATTTTTTCTTCAAAATTGAGAGTTTTTTAACAAAAAATTATACTTAAACTTAATGATACCATAAATGACATACTATGCCGAGAAAAAAAAGTAAACAAAATTGATACATTTTAGCTGTTCTTTTAGTTTGCTGGAGAAGAGCGCGACGGACGATTTGAACGATAAAATATATGAAGGCCATTCTTTAAAACGATAGTGCACACGTGGTATATATATAGGAAAGGTCTTGGTCAAACGTCGCATCTCGCATGATCAAATTCAACTGCAAATTACTAAAATCTTTTGTTTCTACTAATATTATTTGCCTTATGAGCACATGTGAAATTCAACGTTTGGCGAAGCAATTGAAACAATCGCATTCAATTTTATATGACTACTTCACTTTTATTCCTGGGGGATGTTTATATACATTGCAGTGAGCCAACAGTTTAGGCTTTTTTCTTGTTAGTGTTCCTGAGCGGGAAAACTAATTATTATCCCGGTAGATGGGACTTGTCATCCGGCCAAATGATATCAATTTATGATATATTATGGCAGARGGTCTACAAGTATCCTTTAGGTTTACCGCTCATCTTGAAACCGCCGAAAACTAATCTTTTGGAACGTCTTTAGCAATTTTTTTCAATGTGTTGAAAAAATAAAAATAAAAATAAAAATTCATGCCATTTATATATCGAAGCCATATCCTAGTATCTTTTTGAAATGCTCTTTTTAAAGTAGATACCTTTGCAAATTACTATGATATTTTTTATAGCATTTTGGCATCCGTGTTTTACCGGTGAAATAAACAATAACATTTGACCAACCAGAGAGCGCGGACTATGATAGCTACAATATAATTTCGTATAAATGCAAATAAAAATATGTGCTATCGAAAATATCATAATCCATGTCCAACGCTGCCGTAGATTTGCCCGACTAAAAGTTTGTGCATTATTTATTATAATGCCCACTCTAGGGAGGAGGATTAGTATTTTCTATTTTGATTATGAAAGCAAAAAGTGATAGATTGTCGTGGTTTTATCTGTGAAATAAAGCACTTGTCGGGAACAACCAAGGCCAACGCAGTGCAATTGCCACCCTTTCGTAAAAAAACCTATTATCGCCACAGTTAGAGTATAATGTGTTTATATTAGCTTCTAAAAGAGACAATATGATAATAACTAACGCTCCTAAAAAGAAAATTGGCCGCCAATAACATCAGGTTTGTTTATTTTTCACACAATGAGCAACACGAAGTCAAATATTTTTCCGGCTTTCTGAGATTATGATAACCGCAATTTCAACAAAGGCCTTTGTTACAGATCTTTCTAGCTATCGACCTCCGGAATCAAGCTAAGCTCAACGACACGCTTTTTACTTATACTAATGCCCCAGTGATACTATTTCTGAACCTATAGCGGGCCACCCTCCATTAAGCGACCACCCTCCATTAAGCGACCACTTATTAATTTCCTCAGAGTCAATCTTTATATATATTTATTGTAAATGTAACCTACCTCAATTAAGCGGTCAACCTTTACGTTTTTGTGAAACGTTAAAGTTGTGAAATTTTCGATAATCCCGAGATGGCCSCGAACTTTCATAGGGMRCTGAGTCGAGCGTAGTATGACGTCTACTCAYGAACCAAAGTTCTCAAATCGTTCGATATTTCAGCTACGAATTGTTAAAAGTTGGCTTATAATTCKAAGGCGTTTATAGCAGGAATGAARACCTRCGAATRWCCACCATTTATTTTGAAAGGCTCCGGAAATGTGAGAGAAGATTCCTMAGTGACATCGCATTCGCACCAGGCCCCTGATTTCAAAGAGAGCGTATTTTTACGAACTGGCGGGAAATTCATAATAACGATGAATATCGGGAAATTATCCAATWCAAAATCTTTTTGCMSAAAGTTACAATTTTAATAGGATAGATTTTCCTAGAATTTGAACAAAATTAAGTGCAGTTGCACTTAATATGCATGCACATCTGTATAAGGACTACATCCATATCAAATAACTTTAACGATTGTTTACTTAATATATATTGATACTAAAAGCTTTTTGAAACATAAGTATATGTACACAAGATATTGATGCATCAGCTGTACGATGTTT